CCAGAAGATGCTTTGGGCTCTGCGCCTGTGACAGCTGACCGGCCTCCCCTGTTGAAGCGCCGCCGATTGAATCGGGGTGGTGCGCTGATGAAAAGTGCTGTGGAGGATCCGTCTGCCAAATGAGTCTGTGAAAAGAGCACAGGCCCCAAATCAGATCTCAGATCGCCTTTTTGAAAGGTCACTGTGGGACTGGCAACACTCAGTAGACTTTAACTCACTAGACTTTAATTCAAATCAATGACTCAATAACTATTGTGTATTGACTGAGCTGTTTTGGTTAGATATTAATTGATGTCATTGCGTACCAATGAGAGAATGAATCATCCAGCCCCTGTGAGAGAATGGATCTGACATGATCTGACGATAGACGCTGACTTTTTAACCTGTGTCAGTCAGCTAGGACTGACAACTTTACTTCGAGCTGCTATGTCACATGACATGTGTCACGCAACAAACAGACAGTGACAATGAGTGATGCTGGCGCAGAGAGCAAAACAATATATCAGTCAGAGTGACTAACTTGTCCGACTCTGTCTGGGATTACTATTATTAAACCGGCCTCCTCACATTTCACAGCATAATTATGGCGTAGGCATTGTTCTCATTCAGTGGTGTGCTGCAATGGGTCGGCAGCAGAGTTTACTTAATTGGCAGAATCAGTATATAATAACCGGATCATCATCATCATCGTCATCATTGTCGTGCTCATTGCTGGTGTTGCAGTCAGTCCGTCAGAGTCAATGAAGTTGTGTGTCTGGATAACAGATTCGACTCGCATCGATAAACATGTAGTCAATATTATTGACTCAAATTCCTTTTCATTTGGTTGTAGTTTACTACCTCATTTCGGGTTCACCACGACATCGTCACATCGCACTGCATCTCAGGCACTTCCCACGACCAGCGCCGCCGCGATTGGAAATGTTCGCAAAATGTGCCTTGGCCCACAGTCTGAGTCAGTGTCTCTTCATGACTCGCGTTGGTGGGAAACATTTACATAATAAATCACAGTCATGGTCAATAATTGTGAGCCGAGCCGTCCATCGTGAAATATAGCAGACAGACAGGCTAGTCCAATTGGTCCATGGCGGATTCCAATTGTTTTGTCACCGACGCTCATGATTGATTATCAAAATCATGTTTGGTAATTTGCCCACTCCAATGTCTGTCTCAGGAATCTGGGTGAGACGCATTGCTTGGATCCGCCAAGTTACGTCCCTGCCAGAGATCGCAAAACCATCAAAGGAATTGTCGTTCCTTGGCTACAAAAATAGTCTGTCAGACTGACCCAGACAGAGGCCAACAATTGGTTTGATAAACTGCTGTAGCTTTCTTTATTGTTCTATTATTAGTAAGTCCTTTGAAATGAATGGTGTCATTAAATGGATGGACCGCTGTCACTTGTAAGTAAGTAGTCCAAATAATGACCCAGGTCCAATCTGTCAGTCAGTGATTATCTAGCTGAGGTGCTTGCGCAAGGCCTAAACTCAACGCTGGTGCGAACATGGGGGCATTCCCTTGATCATTTGTTGCTTGCCTTAGTTACGCCGCTTCCCTGATTGTAAGACACCCCGAGTCGTCAGAGACACTTAATCAGTCAAGAGTGATTAGACTGATCAATGTCCAGCATCAATGAATTTAATCCATCAATCCAGGAATTCCAGAATCCGGTCGTCGTCTCGCGTCAGTCAGTCAGACACCGAGAAGTCAGATTTAAGTAAAAAACTAACTAAGAGTCAGAAGTAACAAAAAAAGTTGTTATGCAGTAAGCAAAGTCAATTGATATCAACCACGCAATCGGCAGGTAGTAGTTCTGTAGCCTTCCTTGTGGCAAATGTTGGCAGGCAGGGAGTGCCGGATAGTAGTTCGCTGCCAGATGGTAGTTGCAAGGTTTGTCAAGGCCCCACCGCGCTATCTGGCCTTTTTTTCCTGGGGTGGGGGCAACACCAACAAGTGTGGCAAGCGACCACCGGTGGAGAAGCACAACTTGAGACAGAGAGCCTGCTCACCAAGGCCCAAGGTGCAACTTAAGCACGTTTCAAATCTTATGATCCTAGCAATGGATAAGGACAGGTCCTTGGTATGGTATAAGGACAGGTTTCACTTGCCACACCCATCTGGGCTTGAACACAACAAACATGGAAGACAAGCTGAAAAACACAGCAGTTGAGCAGTTATGCAGACTGAGCGGCCTCATCCTGACCGCAAAGTTTTTTGCATGCAGAGTCCACCTGAAACAAAGGCAGAAAACCACAGCTGTACAAATCAAACAAATTATGTTAGTCCCTTGAGGACAAGCGTGAACACCAAATTGGCGGCGCTATGAACTGAATTCAATCTAGGTCATAAAAGCCAAGAAATGCCATCACTGTGAGCCATTGCGCTGCCCAGCAGTGAGCCAGCGTTATGGTGCCCAGTGAGCAAAATTTGGAGTTTCTTTTTTGGTCACCCCGAATGAACTTTTGGTCTTCCTCACTTGCCATCGGCGTCTCAGACCTACCAAAACTCGCGCCAGCTGACTTTGAGTCCTTGCAAGGCTGTCCTGGTTCCCTGGCAATTGAACCACTGGATCTTCCAAGTCCGGCATCAGGAAAGAGAAGAAACAACTGGGAGAGATGAGTGTGAGGCATGCTGCTGGACTTTGTGCGCAACAAACCGGGCCTTCCGTCTCCCAATGAGCAGGATGCTGGTGTGCTAGATGTTGGTCTCAGGGTCTTTCCACCACTCCTGGCGCTTACGGTTCAGCTTCCCATCCAGTATGAAGTCAGGGCCGCAGCACGCCATGGCAATCATTGAAGTTGACATGGTCCGGAAAATGAAATTGACATGGTCCGGAAAAATCGCTCTTGGGCCAAAGACTGATCAAAGCCAAGCAACTGCCACATGGTATGGCAACAGACGAAAAACTTGCAAGAAACAGGTACCTGTGAAACTAATGCAGTGCTTGGTGGCCAAGGCCCCTGCCAGGGCCTTCGCGTTCTGTTCCTTGGTGGTGAGAAAGATGATCACTTTGGCGCAAGCTAATTCCCTTGTCAAGACACAATGGCCTAGGGGGGTCCAAAAACCCACTGACCAAGGCCCAGCCTGTTTTGCTTGGTCCTTGATTGTTTTTGGGAGGACCAGGCTTCCCCTGGTGATTTTTAGACGCTGAGGCACAACTTTTGAATGGTCCTCGGCGGATTGTTTCTAATATGATGATAGTTTCAACTGAAAACTGGTTCTGGGTTTCCTGGCTGACTGCACCAAGGCTGAACACTACTTTAAAATCAGTAATGTGTATGTAAACCACACAAGTATGATATATATATATACCTTTATTTATGTATATACAACATATTAAAGCAAAATGGTGAAAATAACACATGGCGATGCACTCATGGCGATCACTGCATGTTTGCTGGACAATGCTGCGTCAACATTGGCAACATCTTGCAAAAAGTTCAAAAGAAAGTAGGTCAAATACCTTGGAAAAAGGGTCAAATAGACAGAACTTGCCTTGAATGTCATGAAGGCGCGACTCCAAGTCGATCACGAATGATGTCGGAATCTGAGGGGTGCCACTGCCGTTTGAGGCCTTTCGAGTCGGGCGTTCTGCTTTCCAATGGCCGTTCTGGCCGCAGAGGCGACAGGCTGAGGTTGCGATTTGGTGAGCGAGCGACTTGGATTTACCCTTCACTCCTTTTCCACGACCCTTCGAATTGCTTTGAGGGCAAAAAACCTCGGGACCGGGTTTTCTCCAAGAGCCGTCGACGGGCGTCCTATAGGACACATAGAAGGTTGCCAACTCCTTTTCCTCCTGGACGGTGTCCATAACTGCAGTTTCGAACTGCATCACCAGTGACGCATCATCGTCTTTCCAAAAAGTCCTCATCCGTGGGATCGTCGTAGTCCCAAAGACCATCATCTCCGGGATCTTCTTAGTCTACACCGAATGCGGGGAGTTGTCATAGGTCCATAGGTCTTCTGCGGGCAATCTCGCTTGCCTGAGGTATATTCCCTGAGTCCACCAACAGTCGCTTCTTGTCATCGGCCGTCAACTTGCTGCCACGTAGAATGATGTAGGCTTGGACCTCAGCTAAGTTGATCTTCTTCATGAGCAGTTCGGTCCAAATAACTTCGGCCCTGGCCAAATATGAGACAGCATGTTCGTCAGGCTTTTGGGAGCATCGGAACAAAGCCTTCTCCACGATGTCAAACTTCTGCTCAAGGCTGACCTGGCCAAATTGGCCTCCAACCAACTCAACAATGCGAGTGATGCCTTCCACTGTTCCGGATAGCAGCTCCGTTTGTTTCAGATGTAGCTTGGCAAAAGCTGAACCTTTGCTGTTCAGGATGATCCTTGTTGCAAGTTCACTCAATCGTGACTCAGGCCAGACTTGGGTCAACAGCTCAATCTTTTGTGACCACTGTTCGACATTGTCCGTGGTGGGGTCGAAGGTCGGGATCAATGTAGCCAACTGGGTGCTGGCGGTTGATGAAGCTCCGACATCAAGCGTGGTGGATTTGGTGGCTCGGTAGGTGGAGGCACGGTACCAACAGTGCTATGCGGATCTTCTCAAAGCCTTCGATGTGGGGTCGTCCAGGTAGCTCCGCTACCAATATCAAAGCCGCAAGGAGTTTGATACTGGCAGGAAGTCTTCCAGAGGTGGGCGCAATCCCAAATACAATGCAGCAACACCTCAATGAGTTCACCTCCTGGAGCCCTGCTCTTCCTAGCGCCCTGCGCTCAAACACACCGCAGCCCCTGTCCTATCCAAAGCGATCCACGCTTCAAGGATTGAGATTTCCTGATCTCGGCACAACCGAATGGCTCAAGGCGACGCCGCCCTCTTGCCCTTGCACTGGAAGTGGCCGCAGGTATAGGAGCATGTGACACGTCCCTGAAATGCCGATTTCACAACATATTGAAACAATGCGTGTATATATATATATCATGTTTGTTTCTACGCACACACCAGGGCCATGGACTGTTGCAGCTCAATTCAGCAAGTCCTGCTGGCCTCTTGCGCTCCGGCTCCATCAGAATCTTTGGCAAAAGCATTGAGCAACGTATTGTAACCTGCAGTACTTCAAGGATCCCAAATCATGTCTGGATTGGCACAAAATTGGCTCTGACATACGTACTTGGAAAGCCACGTAGAGTATTTAATTGAGGTACCCGTGAGAGGGTTTCAAGCTCTATCTGAGGGACTGTGCTGACAATGTCAGGCTCAAGGCGCTGCTGTTTCATCTCCTAGGGGCAAACACGCTTGCACCAACTGTACTTGTTGAACTGCTTCAACATCACTGCTCTGCTGAGGAGGAAAGAAGTGGTGTCAACCAAGGGACCAACACTGGCATCAGGACCAAGCATGATGACAAACTGAAGATATTACAGTACCAGGATACATAAAATTGATCACGCAATACTATTCAATACTCTCAGTCGCCAGCATTCTCAACATGACTGCGACAGATTTACATATTCCATGCAACAATTGTCTTGATGTCTACCCGCCCTTATGCTTGCACCTGAAAGGCTTTCCACGCCGTAGGTGCATCCACCGCGGATTTCAGAGATAAGCTTGAAGCACCCAAGCCACCTCGAGAGTCACAAGGCTGCTTAGTCTGACACGAAAAATGACACAAATGTCTTATGACATCTTATGAATCGTTTCTCGGATTAAGCTCGGAATTGTTGCAACAGTTTGTAAATCTCAGCCGCGGCTGTAAGTGGATACCTGCAGGTGCTAGGGATCATCACTCTATGGCTAATGCATCTGAGACGCCTCCAGCGCTTTTGTATAAGTCCAACCACTCCTGCAATACTCATTCTTGTGGTAACCGCAACACTGACAGTTCAGTCCACAGCCATATGCACTGCCTGACAAGCACTTAGAACATTGCTTTCTCTCCAAAACACAAAAGATGGTAAGCATGAACACTTGGAACATAGGAATCACTTTCGTTGTTGGACCAACCGACCGGGCGCCATACTGAGAACCTATATATATATATACACGCTCATAACCCCATCCTATGCTACAATCAGTATTGCCTTATCAAAAAAATTGGATTGGCAGTGCTTAGCCAGTGGAAACGCGCTAAAAGGACCATACAGTCATAAAAAGGCTTTGAGCGCAGTCTAAGAGGGAGGTACGCTTGGCCAATGGACTCTGCCGTTGCTCGTAGCTGGATTTGCCCCAGGCTCCTGTAGGCCAAACCAACTGATATTTATGATAAGGGCATAATATTGATAATATTGTATATATAATTAGATATATGTATATATAATTAGATATATGTCATTGTATATATACATATTTATGCTCAAGCGTAAGCCTCTTTTGGCTGCACAACCAAAGGTGATA